GGTAGGCCTCTCTTCTGCCTCAGGGGTCTCTCCCTGCAGGGGGTGGGTGCTAAAGGTCACCCTTCTTCCCCGATCTGGGAGAGTAAAGCAGCCCTGAAACTACGGACTCGTGTCGGTGAGGCTTGAGGGCTGGAGCCTGAATAGTTTCTTTAAGGGTCGTGTAGCTTCTATTGCTCTGACCCTAACTGGAAAGCCAGGGAGTCACTTCTGCTCTTCTGCTACAGTTAGTGGGAGAGAAGAGTTATGGGGATTGTGGTGAATAAGAGCATAGACTTGCTGAGATGGGCTGTGTGTTTGTTTGTTTCCCGCCTATGAGAACTCTGTCTGTCATTGTTTCTTTTTAGATGGCTTCAAAGACCTGTGCTGACCTTTACTTTAGAGGGCTTAATATCTACACGTGATAGTCTTTTAATGTGTATTTTAACACTGAATATAGCAATTTTGTTTATAAGTCTGAATTTCAAAGACTCCAGTGTAGATGCAATAGATCTGACTAATCCAGAATTGCTGTAATTTTAGTATGAATAGTGACAGGCCATCAGGAAATCGTGGATCAAAAGTATAAACTGTGATAGAGGAGAGACCTCAGAATAAAAAACATCTGTATTTGATTATCTTACCCAAATTAGTTGACCAAAAGTGCCTTTCAGTGAAATTCATTTTAAGCTTATCCTGGAAAGCATTTGAAATAAAAGGTGAAATAGGCACAAATTATGTGTGGATTAAAGCATTGTCTGTTTCAGCTCAGTGCATTTGAGACTTCGCCTGTGGTTAAAACAACAGAATATAAAGACTTGATTTAGAGTTACATGCTGTGGTTTTTGGCCAAGTGAAACAACAAAACCAACATAAAGTCTAAATACAGCTGTTTTTCCAAATTAAGCATGAAGTAGCTGCCTACAGCAAATACAGAAGTTGACTCCAAAGTTATGGTAATTTTTATACTTGTTTTAGAATTGAAGAAGTCGTAATATTGAAATCAGCATTTCCTAATGGCTCACCTCATTTTGCAACGTATTTTTCCCCATATATATGTTCTGTGTGTGCACATGGTGCCATTCAGTATCATGATCTATTGTAGACTTATAAATGATATATGAGGCTTTGTGTTGGTAAGTAAATGCTTTCCTTTGTTTATGCAATGGAGAGTCTTTGATAATTCTCAGCAGCAAAAAATTACTGTAGAGGAACACTGGAAACTTTATGATGTGTAGCAAAGAAATATTGTCACATTTTGTGGTGTTAGAAATCTTGAGATACCATGTTGGTGTACGTGGAAAAGTTTTTCTTCTGTTTACTATTGAGGAGCTGGACTTGTGAAGTCTCTGTGAAGACTGGGGATGGTGAAAGCATGTTGGGGAGACATGTAGCTATCACTGCAGCTATCACTGCAGTGCTTTATGCAGTTCTGAACAATGCCAGCATTTATTTTTATAGTAGCTATGCCACCATACTACTGGCATATAGGCTCCTTTTCACAGGTAGTCTAAAGTTTTGAATATATCTGAAGTGCTTTGAAGGTAAAACGTAAAATCTTTACTAATTGTTAATAGGCTTTCCTTCTTGCATTTTAGTCTGAAAACTGGATTCTTGAAGTGGAAACCAGACTATGACAGTGCAGCTACCGAATATGGGAAGGCAGGTATGCATGGCTGTAAATATGGCCATATACTTTATGGTTTCAAAGTATTCTTTCAGCTTAATCCTGATAACATTTTACATATTTTCACCGCATTGCTGTGTAGATAAAACTGTTGTGAAGACTAAGTAAGGTGAAACAACAACAAATGCTCTTAGTAGCCTGCTAAATTAAATTTCAGGTTGTACTTGGAGATCTAGAACAGTTGTCAATTTTTTTTTCTTCCAAGCCTATAACTTCTACTTTATATATTACTGCATGTTATAAATATAAAGCTTTCCTTCTATCACCTTTCTATCCTCTGAAACCTATGACTTTACCTACAAAATACAAATATTTGAGCTGATTTTAAAACTTCTCTTTTCTTATCATCCTAGGAAGCATGTCCTGACAAAGACTGTCTCAGTAAGGCAGAGATGCTGCCAGGGTTTTTTTAGGCATAGTAAGATCCCTTTCATCCTTTTTTTCCTGCTACAAGTGTTGCACTGAATATAACATTCTTCCTAGTTGAGTCCTTTTTGCTCTTAAAGAGTTTTTTTCTTTTTATATAACAGTAATTTATCATGAGGTTTTTTGCTCTAGGCATTCTTACTCATTCATTTAAGCCTAAATAAAAAACAAACAAACAAAACAAAACACAAACTTTGAAAAGCAACTGGAACATTTATAAATTGAAATCTATTTTAAATCCTACTTTAGAATCCTATCAGCCTAATGGAGATAGAAATACATATTTGTGCCCTGGAATGGTTGTATTGAGGAAGCTGTTATAGGTATGCTTTATTGATGGTACAGTTCTGTTCCTGCCATACAGATTTTATATAGTCTCTAATGATTAAATCTATATACATGCGCATTCATAAAATACAGAATGAGTTCCAAAATCCAGCTAAACACGTTATACATGATGTTTGGTACAGTGATGGTATGGATGTGTTTGTTGGTAATAAATGTTTTAATGGTGACTAAGTGACTAATGAAGCAAGGGGGACTGTCATAGGATTTTTTTGGAAGAGCTTGGTAAACTAACCATTCATTAATGAGTCTGTTAGTATCTTTAGGTGGCTATATTCTTGAGCAGAAGTGGTGATAAAATGAAAATGACAAGGTGTAAATAAGAACTTTATTTGATTTCTTGCAGCTGTTGCTTTTAAGAATGCCAAGCAGTTTGACCAGGCAAGGGAAGCCTGTTTACGGGAAGCTGAGGCACACGAAAACAATAAAGCGTATCTTTTCATTAAATGCCATTCTTTTCTCCAAGAAGCTGAGTAGTTGGTACTTAGGATGGGGTATTTGGGGTTGGGATAAGATGCATTTAGTATATTTGCACTTTTGGTCAGTCTAACAAAATTGTTTTTTAAAAAACTATTTCTGTGTTCTCTGAGTGGCAAAACTAAAAAACTCTTTAGATTAGAAAATCTGTGTTTTTTCCAGTAACAGCAAGAGTGATAAGATACTGACCAATGCCTGAGATATCTAGGTACTGCTTCAGAAATTATTCCTTTTTTTATTCTTAAATACCTTTAAGTGCCCTAAGTGCAACTCTGACATAATTTCAGTGCTTGTAACTGTATTTAGCATCCAAGAACGTTTTAAATAAATGTGCTTTTTTTCAACTTTACGTGCAGTTATTCTTTGGTATGTTGCATTTATTCTGTGCTTAGAAGCAGTTACTTTCTTATGCCTTGCCTGCAAATGTAGTAGGTTTGATTTTGCCTTTATGGGCTTCCTTGCTTTGAAACTAGTACTTGTGTAAGATTTTGTGCACTAATAACTTTTCTGCATTATATTTTTATGGCTTTTGTCCTTGACTTTGACAATGTTACTTCCAGTCTCTTCCATGCTGCCAAGTAAGTACAGAAGCACTGAATCATCTGAAAAAAATTTTCTAACATATGGTACAATCATGAACTATTATTTTGATCTTGCCGTAGTAAATGGTATGATTCAAGTGATTTTGCTGTTTCAAAATCAGTTTAGTGGAAGTGTGGGCAAGGGAAGCTTGAAAACCTGCAAGGGCCATGTTAAAAAATACTGATTTTTGACATTCTTCAGCACCTTTTGATGCCAGATATTTTTTCTTAGATGAACTTTTTGTAATTTTGAAGTTCTACACTTATAAAGAAACTTAATTAGAGGGTGCTTCATATCAAGCAGATAATGACAAATAATCCAAATACTCCCTGTAGGTCAGATCATGAGAAATAGATTTTAATGGGGACTGTGTGGGTGAAGTACATAGTTTGTGAAGATAACATTACACATGTGCTACCTCATTAGGTAAAACACTTGAAACATCTTCAAAGCATTAACAGTGAAGTGATAGTTGATGCATGTTAACTTTTGCTGTGTAAACACAGCTTGCTGAAATATATCTAACTAAATTGTAAGCTTTTTCTCCGCAGAGCTTATGAACAAGCTGGCATGATGCTAAAGGTATTTTCATTTACTATTTTTTAATAGAAAGTTCTGGTTTATTGTGCACTGGACCAAATACATGTAACGAAATTATATATTGAGGTGATACTGACTCATAGGTGTCTCCTCTCACCTTCAATAATTTCAGTAGGTTAGGAAAGCAACATTTGTAATTGGGGGTGAAAAATGTTTTTCCTGTTGTAGAAGGAAAGGGGAGGGCCTCATGTCAGAGGCTAATAGAAGAGTGGTGCTGCTTCTGCTCTAAACTAACACAAATTCATGCTTTACATGAAAGTTTGGTACTTACAAGTGAATCTTACAGAGTTTCACTAGCTCTTCAAGTTTGTAAATAAAAATTAGAATCCTAATAAATAAGGTATTACGGTTTGCTTTTTGTTTCATTGTGCATAAGCACAATTCCTGACAGCACTGTCCTTCTGGCTGTTGCTTTGCAGGAGATGCAGAGACTCCCTGAAGCAGTTCAGCTGATTGAGAAAGCCAGTATGATGTACCTGGAGAACGGGACACCAGATACAGCAGCAATTGCGCTGGAACGGGCTGGAAAGTAAGTCTGTGTTGTTCATGGCTAGAATGCATGCAGGGTGTGGGTATATCTTTGATATTCTTTCTTGTCTTTTGATGCTTTTAGGTAAAAAATACTTTAATTTCATCAGAAGAGAAATGGTTTATGTTTATTACAGGTTAATAGAAAACGTGAGTCCAGAGAAGGCTGTGCAGCTCTATCAGCAGGCAGCATCAGTGTTTGAAGTAAGTTCCCTTCCCTTCCTCCCCATGCAAGGATAAGGTACATGAAGATGAATGAATTGGCGATTAGGGTCAGCTATAAAGTTAAGAAAAAGCTAAAGAGCTTACGATTAGGTTCTGAATTAGTTTTCCTTCCTTTCACATCCATGGCTGAGTAATGTGGCTGAAGAGGAGATTATAAAAATTAGGAGTCAGTTTGCTTTGCCTTTTCCTCAGTTTGGGACTTGACTGAATCTGAATTTTGTATGTTGTCATGTTTTCTGCCTCTTGTTGGGCAGCCCAGAGGGTAGGGAACATGGCTGCTGTTGAGTCCCAGAGCCTAAAATAGTTCTTTGAAGGCAAAGAAGAGAAGGGTTTGCTTGCCCATCCTATGAGCAGATGATTTGCCTTTTTGCTACAACATTGGCATACTTCTTTATTGTCAGTGGTCACATGTTTCCAGATTAGCAAGTTTACATTCATGTTACTTGGCTCTTGTGTGTGAACTGTGTATATAGTAACCAACAGTTGTTACAATTTACAGATGACAGATTAAGGTTTAGTGGTCTTAATTCTGTGCAAATTAAATATGAATGCATGAATTCTTTTTGTTCTTCTCTAGAATGAAGAACGCTTACGGCAAGCTTTAGAAATGCTAGGAAAGGCATCAAGACTTCTAGTCAGAGGACGCAGGTACAGCTTTATGCCTCCTTTTCCTTTTTTAGTGTAATTGAATCTTTAATAGTGATTTTATTTTTTTTCCTTGCTGTTGTTTGTTTTATATACAGTTACTTAATCTGCTTTGAGGCATGGTTCACACTAAAATTCAGATTCTGTGGGATATGCCATGCTCTTGCAGGAACCACCTGTTTTGTGTTCTGGGATAGGAGAATGTGGACTATAAGGCTTTGTTTCCTTTGTGTTTGTTGAAAAGCTAGAAAGTATATACCACAACTTAAACTACTTCAGGATTTATTTTTTTTTTTTGTACCACGAGTTATGTGTAGTACTTAAAAGTCCTTTTTAGTTGTGGAATATAAAACAAGGGAATTAGGTGACGAACCTGAGGAAAGAAATCTCTTTGCAGCAGTCTGATTCTTGCCTTCTTAAAGAAGAGTGTATCTTGGCATCAAAATGGGAGTTTATTTAACTATTAATTGCTAGCACCAAACTTGACCTGTGGTTCAGCTTGGACTTGCTTCACTGAAACATGTAATTTTTTTTAAGAAATTGTCTGTTTTCTAATTCTACTTTAAGACACTATTTCACTGTAGAAGCGTACTCTGAAAAGTTACTTGAAAGTCTTTCTGTGAAAGCAAGTCCACATAGCTTCTGAAAGGCTTGCTTGCTCTGCTGCTCTATGGCTCAAGTGCTGTTACTAATTTCTAGCAGTTTTATATGCTCAAAAGCAGTTACTATGACTTAATATTGATAGTTCATGGGTATCAGACTTACTGGTTGTATATAGTAACTTCATGACATAAAGAAATCTATTAGGGTATGTAACAAGGCATTCATCTTGTACAATGTTATGAAAAATTAGGTTTCTCTGAATGAATAGCAGAGGTGTTCTTAATCTGCATGTATAGAAAAGGAATGGCTGACTATATGTTTATTTATCTGTTCTGTTAGAAGATCTGCTGCTGATTTTCAGTTGTGTTGCTGTTTATTCCACTAAGACTTGCCAGTGCATTAGTTAGACTTTGTAATTAGTCTCAGGTTCATTATGCTGTATTCCTAGCACTGATACTCCTGGTTGTTTTTTTTTTGTTTGTTTTCTTTTTTTTTTTAGATTAGATGAGGCTGCATTATCTCTTCAAAAAGAAAAAAGTATTTATAAAGAAATCGAAAATTACCCAACATGCTATAAGGTAAATTCTAAGCAAGAGTTTCTAATAGTGCATTTTAGTAAGTTTTTCTGGATAACTAATGACAGCTGACATCTGACTGACAATATGTACCTCTTGATTCAGGGATAGGTTTCTTGCTAAATGATGGGAATTTGTGGTAGTGCATGTTTCCCCAACCTCTAACTGTGCTTTTTTCACTACTATAATGTTGAAGATAAGATGCTGTTATCCACAGGACAAAACCAACAAATGCGTAAAAAATAAAGATGTTATAAGAAATAACTAACCACAAAAACTGTTACTTGGTGCAACAGTTCATTGCAATGTTGTAGGAGATCATCTATTTCATACCTGCTGAGGATATGGCTTGCTACTTTATCACTGTGTTGTTCTATTTTGTGTAAGTATCTTAGAATCATTGTGGGTTGTAATGCCCTTTTCACCGTAAATATTAGCAGTCCAGTATTTTTCTCATACTTTACTGTTAATTTCTAAAGAATCATCTTGTTGGTTTTTGTTTGTGTTTATTTAGAAAACTATTGCTCAAGTCTTAGTTCATCTTCACAGAAATGATTATGTCGCTGCAGAAAGATGTGTGAGGGAAAGCTATAGGTAAGTCTACTTCATGTCCTGTAATTTTAAACTGAATGTTTTATTAATGTAGATCTGTTCTTATGAAAGAGCAATGGAAACACTGTCAAGAAATTTTAAGCCTCTGCTTTGGTTGACTTACAGTACAATAATAGCATTCCCTGGTACATGGCTCTTGGGAATCTTTTTTCACCCTTTACAGGTTTAACTGTAATTCTTTTTGTAATTCGTAGTTATGTGAGACAGGTGAAATGAGATGAAAATTAGAATTTCTTCCCTTTTTATTTCCTTGTTAAAAGCTGAACAGAATATGTTATGACTGGCATTCTTGCCTTTTTGCTAACTTTGGGTTGTGTCTGTATTTCAAATGGAACAGAGAGGGATTAGCTATTGTAAACACATGTTTAATATTAAAAGTGGGTATTTCTGGATGTTGCTAACTGAATTTTATTTTTTTCAGAATTTCTTTGCCATATGTGAAAGCCCTTAGAAAGTTGAAATTTTTTACAGTTTAAGGATGGAAATACAGATTTCAGTCTCAAAACGTGAAATAGCAGCATCCCAGTATAATCAATTAAACTATCTAGTATGGAGATTAAACTGAGGGAAAGATTAATGTAAATGTTCTTGTTAAAGAAGAGTTTTCAGCACGTGAATTACTATATTTCTGGTTATGTTGATCTAGAGGATATTGCCCTCATCATACACTGGAAGAAGGAACGCAGGATTTCTACTTTTTGTGACTTACTTTAAAAATAAGTGATTGAACCAAAAGATAATTTAGAAATGAGAAGGTAGTCCAGTTGAATACATTGACATGAAGAAGGCATTCTTTACACATGCAGGAGAAAAATCTGGTGTCAAAAACTAGTGTTTCGGGTTCCAGAGGCTTTCCCAATAACTTTTCATTTCAGCTTTCATTAGGACTTCAGTAACAAAATACTGAAACAACATATTTTTACTTAAATGTTTTGTAGTGAAATGAACATATGTTTAAGTTAATTTGTACTTCAGTTTTAGAAATAATTTTTCAAGTTCAATCCTTAAACATGTTGCCCATATTTTCCAAGTCTTCAATTTGTATTTTATGTATAGAAACTAATTACAGAATTTTTCTATATGTGAAGTAGAGGAAGAGTTTATTGACTAGTCAGGAAAAATTGAAGAATTCTAATATTGTCTTTTTGTCTTGATTATGGTTCTGGCCTTGCTCTCGGCATGCAAACTAGTAGTACCAAAATTCTAATTTTATGGACATGACTCATGTACATGGAGAAATCACAGTGGTTACAGGCAGTTTTGTTGAATGAACTGTCCATCAGATTCTTAAGTAGATTGCTGAAATGCCCTAAAGAAAGTCTTTAATTTCCTTCAGTATACCAGGATTTAATGGAAGTGAAGACTGTGCAGCACTAGAGCAACTTTTAGAGGGTTATGACCAGCAAGATCAGGATCAAGTTTCTGAAGTCTGTAATTTGCCACTCTTCAAATACATGGACAATGATGTAAGTAGGCAGTTCCTATGTTTTTTTTTTTTTTTTTTTTTTTTTTTTTTTTTTCTTTCCCAGAATCATTTTGCTTGTTCAGGTTGAGAGATACTGTTGTTTGGGGTTTTTTGTTCTGTTAGAGGAAAATAAGAGCAATGTCCATGTATTTATTGTGATATGCTGTTATCCTATCCTGTGCCTGTGAAATTTTATGTTGTCTTTTGCTTTGCTGCCTGCCAGTGTAAATTCCCACATCATTGTTCCTTTCTGATGGTGAGAAGGCTTAGGTGAAAGAGCAATTTGTTATGGATTTGCTGTGTAAGTTTGACAGGTTGACTGAAAATCAGTTCCCTTCAGCTTGGTTCCTTAGGGGCTGGAACACTCTGGTGCTTATGTTTTATCTCAGAATTACCATATAGCTGGTATAGTATAAAGATTACAAAATATGATGTCTAGAGGATGGCACTGTTGATCGTGCTCCCCCTCCCCCCTATTTTTTTTTTTTGTTTGTTTTTAAAGTTGTGAATTGTACGAAGTGTAAAGATAGGAAAGGTGTGAAGGAGACATCTATCCATGCCAAACTTTGGAACAGTCTTGACCGATTTTACTTTGTTATTATGTTGAATAGGAAAAATTAAGGTACTGGTCTTACTGAAAAACACTTCTAAGACTTACTACATGAACTATTACTAGATAATGTATGCAGAGCGGCATTCTGAATTTTCTTTTCTATGTAATGCTTGAAACATGGAAGCCGTAAGAATGTGACAAAATTATTCTATAATAAGCAGTATCCATATGGTTCTTGCATCCTATTCTCAGAATGCTTGAGAGAGATAAAAAGAACATCCATTAGGTTTATTTTAATCTGGAAAAATAGACTCTGAACATAGCATCAATCAGTTTTCTGTATGAATGTTACCTATGTGTTTATTGTGTCAGTCAATTCTGTGCAGCAGAATTCTCAGCAAGATGTTACTTCTGTGACAGTGCAGAAATTAAACTTGTCTTGTTATTATTGTCAGTATGCCAAGCTTGGTCTTACCTTGGTGGTCCCAGGAGGTGGAATCAAGAAGAAATCGCCAAATGCTGCACAAGACAAAGCAAGAGGACCAGCTGCAGTGGGCTCTCATGCTGATGAAGAAGAGGATGAATATTCTGGTGGACTATGCTAGCTACTACATAGGTAGTCTTAAATATCAGACTTATTTGTGATGTTGAGAATATCCAAAGGTACCAGATTTATCAGAGCTTCATTGCAATTGTGATATGGGAATGCTAATATTAACTTGGCAGCTTCTGGGTGCACTACAGGAGAAAAAGCATGATTGTACCTATCATCATGAAACATCTTTGGACTTTATTTCTTACCTGGTAGCTTCTTCAGGGCTCTGTCTGCAGTTGACGGGAAAAAATTGAGAGAGATTTTTTACTGAAAGCACAGTTTAAAAGAAACCAAAACTTTAGAAGCACTGGAATATGGAGAGTGGTACAAAACTTTAAATCCTGTATTTCAACAGCTGACACATTTTGGTTCCAGTAATATGTTTGTGATTGTTTTTTCTGAGTTAAATATACTATTATTCATCTGGCTATTTATCTCTTGTTTAACACCATTTGGGGCAGACTGTGCCACGCAGGATTTTTCACTAGTATAAACACTAGGGGGAGCACTCAGTTTATTTTCAATATGTTTTTACTCCACTGCAGAATATTATTTTACTACTTTATTCTTTAGGAGCAGTATCCGCATGGATGTGGAAAATACTAAGGGAGCTAATTTGAAGCTGTATTGCAAGCTTAAAAATACACACACATCTTCCATCTTAAAAACTTTATTGACCTGGAAATAAATGCATACATAGTGTTTGTCATGTACACCTTGGGAATGAAAAGAGTGGACAGCCTTTCTTAGTGGTGTTTCAGAAGCATGCCGTAACCAAAAAGGAAACTGAAGGTAGCAGATAATGTGCATTGAATATAAAGCCCTGGAGACAATGTTTAACAAAAACTTAGTGGAGTGTTTCAGCGATATGTTTGAGTTCCCGAGTGTTCTAAATGTTTGTTTGCTAATCAGTACACTTATGAAGACATTTCATTCTTTCGTATGTTCAAACTATAGAACAGCTATCTCTTACAAACAGCATTTTTCAAACTAGCTCATCATCCAAAGTAGCAAAATTTTAACGCATCTTCTCTATTTTTATTCGGATTCAAGTCATCATGTGTTTTGCAAGCTTCTGTAGTCTTAAATTTGTTTGACCATTTTATACTTAAAAGTTAACACACTAAGAGCTGTATCTGTGGTCTGTTTCTTTAGAAGAACCTAATCAAGATTCCACTAAGGTGAGATCACTGGGAATCCATCAGGGATTTGTGTGTGGTACAGGATGGCCAAAGTTCAATTAAACAGTAGAGCAAAAGGACAGTGTTAAGTGTTGGTACAGTTTCTGCCATATTAAGGAATTGGACATCTTCAAAAATAGTGAGCATATGTCTAACGTATATATGTGATGTCTAAAATCAGTGTCAGACATAATTATGATGAAAAGGAAACTTGTAAAGGCCTAATCCTCACTTTCCTTGAGGTGGATGGCACTCACTAGCATGGTGATGGGTTGCACAGTTTGCAGGCAGGGCTGCTCTAAAAGTCATGTTTTTCAATTTAATGGGTGTTCAAAAAACGGTTTAACCTTTTTGTATTACGTAGTAATCTTGGATTTGTTATTAATGATGCATTTAGAAGTTTTTTTGCTCTTCTATAAAATAGTCTGAACAAGATGTTGGGAAGCGAGTTACTTTTCTCTGAGAATGGTCACAGGTGTACATGAAATACGGTTTTCAAGATTTCCCTGTAACTCTTCATTTTTCACCACTGGAGCAACTCGCTCCATTTACTCAATTTCTGCCTTCTGTGTTTGTTCATGAAGGTGAACCATGCACTTCTTATAGGGAGTCTTTATCACCAGTAATGAAAAAACATGCATACGTAGGAGCATTGGGAACACCAGCGTATTTTCTTCAAGCATTTCCTGCTGCTTCCAATTCTGAAATCAGTTTTATTGAATGGTCGCAAGGAGTTTGCTTTTGTGTGTGTGTGTGAACAGTTGCGTATATCTGAGATGACATGCGTAAGAAAAATAATGAACCTTGTGTGTGCTTCTGTGAAAGAACTTGCAGGCTTTATTTAAACTGTGCTTGTAACACTAACAGGCCCTTAAAAGAGAAATTAAAATTTAGACATTCGATTCTTAAAATGTACTTTTCATATTGCCAAAAAAAATAAAATAGATACACAGGACTGTCTTCTGACCCCATTACTTTTCTATTTTTCCCTGTGCCAAACATGGAAAATCTGGGATAAACTGACATACTAAGCTGCCACTGAATTGGGCTTCTCTGAATCTTAGGCGTAGGAACTTAATCTGTGATTGCAATGTTGCTGCAAAGACCAAATCTGAAATGAAAGTGTCTGAAAATAAAATGGTCTATTTTATATAACTTATTCTCCTATTTTAGGCAATGAAAGTGTGATAGGAATGTTAACTGCCTTTTAGTAAATGTTGAACTATAGAAGAAGCTGTCTGTATATTATGTGTTAGTGTTTGTTTCTATTTTTCAAAGCAATTTGCACACTTATGTAAATACCATTTAAGTGATATAAAATGGAAAAGATACCATTTACAGCAAGGAAGTTTCCAGAATCAGTGTTGACTGTAACAAAAATAAAACTAAATAGTGCATGAAGGCTGTGTGCTGGCCAATGCAATGTATATGTAAAATTGAAAGATTTGTAAATTATCTGTAACTTAGTACTCAGTATGCCCAAGTGCAGTGTGGAACCTGTGCTTTATTTGTTCTTTTTCCAAATCTGTGGTGTATTAAGAGTACAAAATGTGTTTGTAACAGCCCTACATATGCTGCCTCTTGAGAAGAGGCTGTGTGTTTCACCAACATGAAAAATAAAACTTGGAACTAACGCATTTGTGCTAGCTTTCCCTGTTGTTGATCAGGTCCTGATGAGCACCACCACTTGAAAATTAGTAGTGTTTTTTAATCTCGAAGTTTTCTGTGTGACTCTTTGTCTGCAGATCTTGCCTCCAAATGTTGCCGGTATATTGTATGATCAAGGACTAAGCCTTGGTAAGCTATGGGCTCAGGTTTGAGTGTTGAAAGTCAGTGGTGTCTAATATGTATGGCTTATTCACTAGATAATTCCTTATAGCCTATTTCACTTATCCTGTGGTTTTTGTTTTTCTCCTGACCTTTTGGTACCTTTCTGCTGTCTTCCATTATTTGAGGTGGCGACACATCTTAGGTAATTCTTGTCCCCTCAGAGTAAAAAGTATGTATGTGTTTTGCCTTTCTGCTGATTGTAACAACTTGGTTGTTCATTGTTATCACTTCGCTACCCAAAGGCTTGTATTTGGAAAAGAAAATTGTTATACTGGGGGATTGTCAGACCTGAATTTGCTGCTTTCGATAACTTGAAATAGAAATAATTGAATCTCCAGTCCCTGGTGTTGACTAGTTATGCAAGGGATAAACCAGTTTAAAAAGAGCCTGGGTTTCTAATGAGAAGAGAGGTGCTTAGGTCTGCCATAGATGTAAGACATGTTTCCACAGCTGGGCTGGTTAAAAGCGTAGCAAACTCTTTACTACTTCTGGAAGAATATACAAATATGTTTCAAGGTTTACCTGAATATTCTGAAATCCAGAAAGGTCTCATGTTCTGCTGAGAACATGAATGGGAGCAGCAGGAACATGAGAAAAGTTCTTGCACCAAACTGTGCTTTTTAGTATCAACACCGACTGTGACAGATGCATTGAGTGTGCCTCTGGGCTCAGTTGGAGGCTAAAAGGGGCGCCCAGATCAAGTGACTGAGGGTAAGTTGAATGTGGAGAAAGCCTTACCTATTAGAGCTTCAAAATTAATTTCTAGCAAGAATAATTTTATAAATGGTGTTTGCTGTCCTGCAAGAACATGTATAAGTGACTTAGTAGCTATTTAGGTCATAGGTTTTTGCTGATATAAAAGACAAGACTTGGGGTGGGATAAGGAAGAAGGTTAGTTTGATTTTGGAAGGATTCATTCTTTACCAGTGTCATTTTACTTACATGCTAAAGTGTCACTGATACGTGTTTAAGTAGCTCTATTAACATAGCTTTTTCTGCCAAAGTTTAATTTGTAATTCTATTACAGATTTGATGGGCACGTGTTTCTTTTAAAGAGGGGGTGTTACTGAATGAAAGCTGATTCTATTAGAAGTACATTAAGTAGGTTTCTGTATGGGCTGAATTAATACAGAAATAGTGCAGAGAGTAGGGTGCACTTGAAGTATAAATATGAATTTTAAGATTGCTGTGTTCATTAGAGTTAATAATATTTATCACTTGGGACAGATTTTCAAAGTGGTTTTCATCCATGAGAAAGTGTGGTTGTTATTATTCAGTTGGCTCCAAAGGGGAGTTTGAAAAACAGCTAGATTTCAACATTTAAAAAGCCACAGACCTTTACACAATTTAAGGATGTGAACTCTATAGCTTTTTGGAGACTTCATTGCAGAAAAATCACCTTTCCTACTCTTAGTCAAACTTGCTGGAGTACTTGAAGGCTAAAGAATCTGGCTCTGAAGTTCAGTGTGACAGGAATCATCCCTCTGATGCTGTGAATAAGCAGCTGTAAAAATGATAAGAACTAGGCTGCTCTTAGAAAAAAAAATAAAGCTTCTTATAAAACTAGATGATAAAAAATAAAGTAGTGAACTTTTTTTGAATGCAGGAAATGGAAAAAAGAAGCCACCCTAACAACTAGTAGTGGTAATAAATTTGGAGTAAGTAGATGTAACTTTCCAGAGCAAGAGGGAACCACTTGGGACCTGTGGTGTTTGAGCAGGGATATTAATCTCTAAGCTAATGGTCTGTAGAGGTTAGCATCTCCAGGAGCCGGAGATGTACCTGTTGGAGATGATATGCATGAGTGCTGTATCTGACCACCTTCCTATAGGCTGGTGTGTCTTTGTTTCAGGGCTGCTGTCGTCGAGGTTCAGCTGTGATTTCCAGTGTGTATGTGGTGCAGCAGTGTAGCCTCCAGCCTGGAACAGGAGCACGAGGCAGCTGCGAGGCTGCACGTACTTTTAAAGAACATATGGCTGTTGTTGGCTTTGTTAAGTCTTGTGGGAATAGGAGTAATGAGTGTGGCTGGGCTCCAAGGTCCACGCTGCTGGGATGTCAACTGGTGTACAACCAGTTTAGCTTACTTGACAGAAACATTTTGACACTGGAGTGACAGAAGTAGGTCCTAGCATGTGTAAAGGGAAAACGGGTTATCATTAGTTGTGGTGTTTGTTTTGGGTATGTATTTATATGCCTTTATTTGGAGTTGTTTGTAAACTT